TGTTTAACTCTAGAGGAGTTGGAAAATGAGCCTATTTTCAAAAATAGTGGAGTGTTCCTTTAAGACTGGTTTTGTGCTCCAGGGTCACAATTCATACCAATTAGCCACACTGAAAAGAAAGACTGAAATAGTATTTTCTTGTAAAACTTACTTTGAATAAATAAACATAAAATTGTTTTGCAAAGAGAGTGTTTTGGATAGTTAATTATGAATTGTTTTGATATTAAGATTTTCTTTTTTCCAACCTGGAACAGTATCAGAAAACAAACCCTTTGAGACTAAGGGTATGTTTACATGACAACAATGTACTAAAAACTGATCTTTGAAAGGTTTCGCATACAGACGACAATGTTGTCAAAACAATCCCTGTTCCTAGTGCATGTCAGGCCAGTAGCTGTAAAGTTTCCCCAGTTTGGGGAAGTTCTACTAAAAAAGACTGCAACAAATCATTTCAAATCATAAGATGGCACTCCAAATAATCCTTATCCGTAATGTTGACTGAATGGTCTGTAAATTTTAATTTTCAATTTTCAGGAGAATAACGTTACGTTTGGTATGTTAATGTGAGGTGATATAACAACGATATCTAATAACTCCTTTCAGCCCACTGCATTGGTTTACTCCTGATTATTTTCATGTTTCCTTTGTATTCTGCTGTAAATAAATGAAAAACGACAACATATGCTATGCATTTGTGTGTACTGCTCTCCCGAATTAATAAACGATATAAACCACGAATAATCCCCTGGAATGCATGTCTTCACACAGATGCTGTGAAATGTAATACGAAATATAGACATATTACTATAATGATGTTTAACACTTCCGTAATATTGCCGAGGATTGAAGGAGGATCTTTAGGAGTTATTCATGGTATGCTAAAAGTTATTTGTTCATGTTTTTACACTTAAATTTCCATTTAATGACTGATAATTAGAGAGTAAAATAATGTCATCACTGTACCGAGTTCTTGAAAATGCTTATCATTGCGTTCATAGAGTGAACCTTTTGCTGATTGTTTACACGTAAATGGAAGTTGCTCCCATAATTTGCGCTAAGCATCATGGGGCGTCCGAAAAAGGTGGATAGACTGACATTTTCACAAATCTGTGTTTTTGTAGTTTACTGCTGAGACAGTATCGTTTTCAGAAACGTGCACTTTAAAGCCTGTTTTCGAATGTTTGCATTTTCAGGCCCCCAAAACGCTTCTAAGTTCGTTACTATACGGTTGCTAGGAAACTGCTGTATAAGTGTCAGGTCAATTTTAGCATTGCTGTGAGTTTGCACTGCATGTCAAAAGAAATGTAAGTCCTCTCTCTCACTCTCTCCAGCGTGTCGTGGTCCAGAGTGAAGGCCCAGAGCTGCAGCCTGGCGCTCAGATGAGGAACGTTGCCCAGGGTCAGGAGACACTGCTCTGCGGGGCCCAGAGGTGACCGCGGGGCCTGAGCTTTCGCCTCCTTTATCAGATTCAGCTCGTCTTCAGTGGGAACCAGCATCTGCAACCTCTGAGCCACAATAATGTCAGTGAACACTCATGCTTTCCGTTCACTGTTGCTGTAATTTGTCATGTGTGTTAGTGAAGGGCTGTAGTCATGCATATATAGAGTCTGTACTCATGTTGACTTTAACAGCGCTGTAGGGAACACACCTGGATGTCTTCTCTGTCTAGTACATCGTTGTCCATGCTGTATATGGCAGGAGGAAGCAGGTGAACCGGCGGCAGACTGCTCAGAGCTATAGTGACGATGTTACTGCGCTTCACACCCAAAACAGACACACGCGGCTGCTTCTGCTGCAGGGATGAACAGAGAAAAAGCTGGAAACCTTAATATTTGTCAGAGTTCTTTGTTTTCTGTTTTGTAAAGTATACTATTTTATGGAAGTCCATTTCAGCCACGTATGGGAAAATAATCATGTTTTGGTAATACTGTAATTATTAATTTAGGTGTCATAAATATGAGCTGTAAAGGCCAAACTTTTACTTTAAATGGCATAATCATGACATACAGTAAGTAGCAGCTCTGACGTTAAAGTCTATGACATGAAAAGTCGAAATTACGACACGTCACAATTATGAGAAAAGGCAAATATGTCATACTTTTGACTTTTTAAAGTCATCATTTCAAACTTTTATCTCATAATTTACTTTGCATGTCATCATTTTGGCCAGGACTCCCTGGGAGTAGAGATGTTATATCTCAATAGGACTAAAACAAAGGATAAATAAAATAATAAATAAATAAAATATAATTTCGACTTTTAAAGTCATAGTTCTGACTTTTCATCTCCTAATTACAACTATGTCATAATTTTGACTTTTTTACTATAGCTTTTCATCTCGTAGTATGTCATAATTTAGACTTTTAAAATCTTGATTTCAGCTTTTTTTTTCGACTTCATATTTCATAATTATGATTTTGTCATAGTTTAGATTTTTCATCTAATAATCCTGACTTTTGAAGTCATGATTATAACTTGCCAAAGCACGAGTTCTTTTTTTGGGCTTCCATAGGCTACTATTGTGGTGCCAGCGACAGCTCTGATCATTGCTGAAATATTATCAGACAAAATGATTCTCTGATCTACGGTAATCTTTACTGACACATAAGGATTTAACAGGAATATTTTATTGGGGCAGCGATGTTTATGTGGTCCAGTGACTGTTTACTAGAGCATTACACATTGAAGTCCTACCTGTCGTGCCACCATCAGACTGCAGAGGGCGCTGTTGTTGCTGCTTTTGCTCTCAAACAGGTATTCCAGTCTATTGGTGTCTAGCTGAACCGGTTCCAGACCGGCCCAGATCGACTGAAGCCCAAAGCGGCCCACTCTCGGCAAAGACTGCAGACTCAACAGCGCGCTCCAGTGGAGCCTCAGAGTGCGACAGCCTGATGACTCGCTCGCTACAGAGAGGGGCGGGGCCAAAGGGGGAGGAGGCGGGGGGATGGGTGTGGCTGCAATCTGATTGGCCGAAGTTTGGGAGGAGTCTTCATCAGTGCTGTCCAGCTCAAGATCCTCGTCATCCCATAGGTCGGAGAAGTCAAGGGCGTTGAGGCGGAGCAGAGGGGCGTGTTTTACGACGGAGGACCAGGAGGTGTCGAGAAGAGACGATTCGGCTTCTTTCATTGGATATTCCTGGTGATTTACTCTTGAAGCACTTGAGGAAAGTAAATGCATGTGCAAAAAGATACTTGCGTGGTAAACCTTGTTCTTTCTCTTCTCCAAATAAACCCAATGAGCAAATATCCAGTCTGAATATACTTCAGAGTTTAACAGAAATGGTTTACCGCATTAAAAATGATCAGCGTCCATTCATAGTTGCGTCATGAACGTGCTGAAGAACATTTCCAAAAATGACCAAAAATGAAAAACCATATGTCTTCATGTACTTCAAAACAAAGATAATCCATTCACAGGACCTTCAAGAACGTGCAGCGCACTTTTTATGCAGTGGTTTTTCAAATGATGCAGCTCCTCTGAGAATCTCCACAGTAGCTTCAGGTGAAGTTTGAACTTCTACAGCATCTGTCTGAGGGCTCACATTAGAGAGCTTGTCTATGTTATCAAGAGCACCAGTGGATGTCAGATGTTCTCTCACACTCGGTTGAGGTTTGCATCCTTCAGGGCCGATGCTGCAGTATTTCAGAAGCTGTCCAGTGAATGTCAAATGCTATAGAGTCCTTTCAGTGTCCAGTATTTGTGAGAGAGAGACGTGACACTCTGTCTGCGTCCCAGACGTTATGAGGGGCCGTTTAGACAGAAAAGAGTGTGTTTGTTTGGGCGTTTATTTGAGTTGCGCCCTTTCCCTTCATTTCCTTATCTCTCCAGCATCTCCTGTTTATATCCCTGCTTCTGTACACACAGCTTCACGATCTCTCCGTCTCCACCCTTTCGCTCTCTTTCAGTTTTCCCAGCTTATGATGGCATCCCTCCTTATTCCTTTGAGAGTCAATCCATGCTGGGACTGGGATTGCATATGGTTTTTGATCATACAATCTTGCTATCAGTCAATCATCACTATTACTGTTGCTCATGCATGATGGCTAAGGATCTAAACAACCTTCTAAGTATTAAAGTTCAGTTTAATGACTCTTTAAATCATGTGCATGTTCATCTGCTGAACCATAAAACAGGTGAAACAATACAGATGCACTCTGGAAGTTAAAAGTCAACTAAAAGCACTGAAGAGCTCAATTCAAGCAGCTTTAAGAACTGAACTGCCTGGTTGTGTGAAACGAATGTATAGCGATTTTCCAGTTCAGCTCATGTAAACACATCCATAAGTCTTTGCAGTTTGATTTCATGCTATTTCTGAGACAGCATGGCTCTTTTATATGGTTGTTTGTGTAGGACTTGCCAGCACTTAGCAACCATTTGGATTGACGTAGTGAAAATAAAGTGTTTTTATCTGCAACCATTATATTTTTTTTCTTTATTTTACTGCAGTAAAGTACATTTGTAACACAGACACAGATATAGATATATTTCAAAGAATGTTTGCGGATTTATCTTTTTTTTTTATAATATTGTTTTTTCTTTTACATCAATGTTGTTATTATTAAAACTATTAAGAAATAATTTTAGTTAATTTAAATAAATCTGAAAAATATCAATATTAGATGAAAAACTTGAAAAATGAAAATTAGAAGTACTAAAATGATTAACTGAAATAAAATGAAAGCTAAACTGAAATATAAATATAAAAAAATGACAATAGCACATAACAAAATCACTAAAACTAATCAATGAAAACCAAACATATAAAATAAAAGCTAATTCAAAATATTAATAAACACCATAACAGTTGATAAATAATACAAAAAGAGCATTGAATGGCACAATACAGCCTTTCTGGGGATTTTCTGTGATTTTACAATCACTGGGCTGTTAAAGTAATTACGTCTCATGTGGCTCTGTCTCCAAAAGCTGTTTATGTTTGTTTGTAGAGCCGAGGGGAAGTGATTGGTATCACAGGGCTGGATGTTGTCCATAATAGTGTTTAATGAGGTTTAATTAGCTCGAGAGGGCAATCCCAGACTTCAGTCAGATGGGAATGACCGCTGATTATAATCAGTGAGATGTTATTAAGTATGATGTGAAGGAGATGTGAGTCAGAGCTCCAGCAGTGTCCTTCAATAAGCCATTCAACTGCTAGACTTCTAGTTTTAAATATGGATTTCATTTCTCTCTCGCTTTTTCTTCGAATCCTAATTCCTGTTTTCAGTTAGGTTATTTTATATTCATTAGACTTCTATTGATTCTTAGATGATTCTTGGTTGATTCCAACAGGATAAGTTCCAAATTATGATACATAATGCGTTTATACATATATATA